GGAGACCTGGGTCAGGTCCAGGGACTAGATGTGGGCACCGTCCTTTGTAAGTTCCAAATGCAGAATGTGTTTCTGAAGCCATCTCCCTGGCACCCTTTGGCTGAGTGGCAGGGGCTGCTTTTCTGAGATGAGACCCTCCCACGTGCTCCCAGGCAGGTAGCGGCCAGCCTGGGCAGTGGTCAGAGAGTGGGCCGTGGAGCCCAACAAGACAGACGAGGCTGGACCTCGCTCCTCGCCGGCTGATGTGACCTGTCACCCGGATTCCTGAGCTCCATTATTTCTTCTGCAAAATGGGGGTCGTGGTGGTAGTGGGGTTCAGGAATTAAATAATCCTAAGACGTGCTCTCAAAACAGCACCTCTGAGCTGTTCCTGTAAGTCACCTGTGTCCTCCTGGGAACGCCAGAGTCTCTCGGAGCCTCGTCTTCCTCTTTCGTACTGTGGGAACAGCACTGTGTCCCCGAGGTTGCTGTGAATGCTCTGAAATGATGGGAACAAGTCACTTTGCCCGCCCTGTGGCACCTGATGGGACCTCGGTTCATGGAGGTGGCTGTCACCTGGCTTTCCATCTCCGTAGCCTGTGTCCGCACCAGGCCCTTCCTCGGGGCACCCACACAGCACCTCTGGCCGCCCTGCGTCTCTCTCCCTCCTCCTGCTGTAGCTCCTCCCACGTGTAGTTGCCAGAACAGTCTCACAAACCCTGCAGCGAGGCCCTTTGTGGTGTGAGGTCACGGTGCCCCAGCCTGTGGTTTAAAGCCTGGCACGGCGGCCTGTGCCTTTTCTCCTTTCTGTCCACGCGGCCACCTCGCTCTTCACCCGCCTTGGTGGCCGCGGCCTCCGTGCGCTGTGCAGTGTCTCAGGTTCCTCCTCAACTCCCCTCCTCCAAGCATCACTCATTCCAAGAGTCGATTGGGAATGAAACCCACCTTCTTCAGGAAGCCTCCCCCCGCCTTCTCCCCACTCACCCCTTCCTGCTTGGACAGCAGCTCTGGTCCCTGTCACTGGCCAGGAGAGCCACTGGGTGGAAGGGGTGTGTTGGTCAGCTGTGTGTCACTGTGACCAGTGCAGCCGGCAAGAACCACTGAGAGGAAGGAAAGGTTCTCTGAGCTCACGGTCTCAGGCTCGGTCCGTGGTCAGCTGACTCCGTTGCTTGGGCCTGAGGTGAGGCAGAACATCATGGTGGAGGGGTGTGGTGGAGGAGAGATGCTCATGGCAGCCAGGCAGGAGAGAGAGAGGGGAGAGAGGGAGGGAGAGAGGCCAGAGACAAAATATAAACCCTCAAGGCAGGCCCCTGTGACCTACTTCCTCCAGCCCCCCCACCTGCTGCAGTTATCACCCAGTACAGTTGTCCTTTCCAAGGATTAATCCATCAAGTGGATTAATCCACTGGTTAGCGTCAGCTCTCACAATTCAGTCATGTCCCATCTCCAGACTTAACCATCAGAAAGAGTTCTGAGATAGATGCTAGAGATGGGACAGGCTTGATTCACTTCCGAGCTGAGAGACCTTGGGAATGTTGCTGTACTGCTCAGTGTCTTTCCTTATAGAAAGGGGAACCTGTAAACTGGGGATAGTGACATGGAGGTTATTCTGGGTCTGGGGTTGTGGCTCAGTGGCAGAGCGCTTGCCTCACACATATGAGGCCCTGGGTTCGGTCTTCAGCACCACATAAATATAAATAAATAAAGATATTGTGTCCTTGTTTAATTTTAAAAAGTGTTTTATTAAAGAAAGAGAGATTATTATGAAATAATTTATACAAATTTTCTTAGTATTGTATCTAGCACCTAGTTGCTCACATAATAATTCTCTTCCCTTTGTTGTTCCATTAGTGCATGGTTTTTTGTTTTGCTAAATTATAAGCTTCTTAGATACACAGCATGGATATTTTGTCTGTGTAGCTTACCCCTCTGTATCAGTCAGTGTGTGCTAGGTCATGCTGTGGTAACACATAGGCCCAAGTCTCCGCAGTTTTAAACACCAGAGGTCTCTCTTGCTTACCCTGCAAGTCGCTTATGGATTAGTAGAGCAAGTTCTTCTCATTTTAGTTACTCAGGGAGCTGGACCACTCACATTTCACTGGCCAAACAAGTCCTATGGCCAAGTCTAGCCTTTAACAGCACAGAGAAGCCTGATCCTATTGTGTACCTATAAGGAGGTATTCGAGAACCTTTGTCAGCCACCCTGACACCCACTGTGTCTTCCAGGTGGCTTCGTACCTAGGTGTGCCTGTTTGAAACCTGGTGTCCCTGCTGGGTGCAGTCCTTTCCCAGACACTTGGAGTCTTGCTGATTGGAATCAGTCCTGTTCTGCATGGGTCCAGGGGTCCCTAACTACAGTCCACAGTCCTTGCCAGAGAGCTGGCATGAGTCTGGTTGCCTCGTACCGTGCTGCTAAGCAGTGGGGCACTTAAATCGGGACCCGTGTTCAGGAGGCCCAGATCTCAAGTCCGTCAGCCTTGACCCTCTGATTCATATGTTCCTTCACTCACTGGACAGCTGATCATCTCCACCAGGATTTGCCCTGTGGCAAGCACCATTCCTTCACAGGAGGTGACAGCAGAGACAGACAAGCTTGCTCAGATTTGCTGATCAGGTGGAGACGGCAGGAGACCAAAGAGATCCAGAGAGTGGTCGGTGAAGTGAACTCACCCTCCCTGGGCTTGCCTTACTTCTAACCGCCTCGGGCAAATTCCTAAGTCGCTTTGTGGCCTCTGTCTTACCATCTATAAAGTGGGAGCAATTACCAGATTTCTGCTGTAGAGTTGAACTTAAAAGGAAATGAGATAGATGATTCCTATAAAATGTTTCATGAATCGTGTCATTTGCCAGGAAATGGGTGGAACTGGAGACTAT